GAGACTAGCTGCTCTCTGCAGCACTCCCTTTACACTCTTCTCACCTTCTCTCGTAGTAAAAGCTTCTTCACGCAGCCGCCTCGTCACCAACAGCCCCACTGTCTGCAAATGATCTGAGGGCCATCGTTGAGGCTCCACCAGCAACCGAGACACGGAACACAGTATCGATCAACACCCCCTCCCCTGGCTCCCTCCTCTGGCTCTTGTGGCGCTTCTGCTGCAGCGTCCAACTTCAGGTGATCTTCGTCTCCTGCACAACAAGTCTCCTCTCCGCCACGATCCGGGATGCTTGCTCTCTCCCGTTAAATGGGATGTCATAAATGGGCCGCGCAGGATGTGAAGGCTCTCTAGAAGAAGGAGGAGGATGGCTAAAACAAGCTTGTCTGCGGCGGTGCTGCTGTTTCTGGCTGGGTTCCTCTCGGTACCCTTTGTTAACGCCGGTGAGTTTTACCACAGGTTGATGAGAGATGACCAGGAGTAAACAGGAGGTGGTGGTGTACTTGCTGATCAAACAACACATGCTGGTGTACAGTATTAGGCTGTAGTTTGGACACAGCAATCTAATGTGATGCATGCAGGACGTTACTGTGTATTGGATACCCTAGGGTAAACACCTGAACACCCTACATGACACATGGATGTGTTTGCGTGCGCTTGTGTGTGCGTATACGTGCGTCAGCATCAACATTATCACCAGCTAGGTAGAAACAATAAGCTTTGTAATGCCAAAAATGGCTGACACAAGTTCATGCTGTGTCAAGACTAGGGCGAATATCCTGCTGTATCGACCAAGCTTTCCCTCCTCAGTTTGGAGATTTGTTGTAATTTTGAAACTATATCATATTTGTTGTGGGACTGGTTCAAAAGGTTCTTGATTTTTAAGTGAAGTACACCTGCAAAATGTGCATCTAATTTAAGAAAACAGCATTATTAATACATGGCTTATTAATTCCATAGTGGATGGTCAGAAAATTGTGTATATTAGAATTGATCCAAACATGTGGTGGTTCCAGCTGTTTAGATGTGAAGATTTGTTTCTTTGTCATTTCTGACAAAGGAAATGAATATGTTTTGGACTGGACGAAACAAGACATGAAGATGTAACCTTGATAGTGGGCATGTTTGTCTCATTTTGTACTCATCCATTTCTCAGTTAATTAAGAAAATACTCTGGATTAATCAATAATGAAAATAATTTTTAATTGCAGCCTGCCTGGAAACTTGAGCTTCAGCAACTACAGTATCAATGTCCTGAATGGATAAGAACCAACACCTTACACAGCTGTCATCACCATATATCTTCTATGCTGGATATAGAACCTCATCTGTCAATCCAGTTATTATAAGTTAACTTATATTCATAGGTGGAAAAACATTCATTTCAGGAGCAAGATTTTGGTAACAGAGTGTCCTGATGATAAGCTGACAAATGACAGATGGTCCTTTGAAAAACCCAAATCTTGGCGATAAGATCATGTGATTTATCGCAGCCTCCAGAGATATTTGAATGTAGTTTAAAGATGGAGTTTTGTGTATCTGCAGCCAGTTTTTGGCTTTAAAGAATAGATGGGAATCTCTCTTTGTTTGATTGTACTGTCTGTCTCTCTCTCTCTCTTTTTCTGTGTGTGTGTTTGCTTGTGCTGGAAGATAAACAGTTGGACAACAGCTAGTCAAACAGGGAGTTCTATCAATGTATCACACGTACTGCAACGCACACCACACATCTGTGTCAGTAACCACATAGAGCCTTTGGGAACCACTGAGAGAGTTTGTCGCCCACCAAAAATTAAATTCACCAGCACTACTATGTGTATCACTCTAGTTTTCTCTGCTATATTCTGGTGATTGTGTTAGCATTGAACAAACATGGAGGAAGACAGAGAGAGAAAAAGAGACTGTGTTCTTCCTCCTGTAATATCATAATTTAACTCTGAACAAGACTCAGGCTGGGTGTACAATATTTGCAGAGGTGCCAGACAATGTGATGGTTTAATTAGCAAATAGTGACAGACTGAAGATTCTTCTGGTAATCTGGCAAATAAACAGAAAGAAAGAAAAAGCAGTGTAGTGTAATCAGAGACACATATACTTTAAATGCAACAAAAGGTTACACCTGGAGATGAGTCTGTACAGATGAACAGTATTAAAGTGACTCTGGTACTTTTGAAAGAAGTATTTTAGACAAAATGGAGGTTAGGTGTTAGGAATGAGGTGTTAGTTTTCAGACATTACTGTTTGTTCTACTGCTACTGTACATTTTAGCATTTAGCCTTATCCTAATTGCCTAACTGTGTCTACATTAGGTGCCACTTACTGAAAACACCACCTCCTACAGCAGAAACAAGCTGTAAACACAGCTGTGACATAGTATAGTATACTGTATGGTGATAGTGAATATCCCCGTCAAACAACAGTCCAGGGTCAATATCGGCAAACGAGCACAGCCAAGGGATCCAAAAACGGGAGGTCAAGAAGCTGGTCCAGTAGTCAGTACACAGAAGAAACATTCAACACTCAGGAGGGCTAGGCAGAAATCGGTAGTCAGGAAACAATCCGGGGTCAATAACATGAATCACTAAAGCAAGGATAATGCTGGAAAGTCTGCACGAAAACAAGAAGGCTGCTTATATTGGGGGGAAAACAGGTGCAAGCAATTAGCACTGATTACTGTAAAGAAACCATAACAGATAAACCTAGAACAGGAAATGGCGACAAAATAAGAGCCTAAAACAGGAATCGGTAGGACAAAACCCTTACAAGTTGTGTTTCTAGTCAGTTAAATTTTGCACTGGTTTGGTCTTTACTAACTAACTCCTTGGCTGCTAAATGTTGACCATATTCATCAGTCAGTGTGGTGGGTAATGCTGGACATAGAGTGTGAATGGCTTATTTGCTGAAAATAGCCGTCTGCTACTGCCAAAAACGACGCTAGTGAAAGTGGTGCGATTGAATCCAATGAGCTGGGTCAGATGAGAATTCTCTGTGGGTTTTTCATTTGCAGTGTTGGGCAGTAACTAGGTTTACATGTAAATTGTTACTGTAATTCAATTACAAAATAATTCTAATTCTAATCAGTTACTGAGAAAAAATATGCAAATAATTTGCAGTTATTAATCTAAATGTTGGTGATTACAAAGAGGTTACATCTGAATATATTCATTCCTGTAAAATGCTGAGAATAATATCCATTTTGCTGCTTTGCATCTTTTCGCCGTGCAGGGAAGCCTTCTTGTGGCATATTTAACATATGTCAACGTGGGTCATGAAAGCTGTTGGGACAAATTAGGATGGTGTTCAACAACCTGTCTCTACATCTAGGCTCTATTCATTGGGCAGCATGCATTAAATTTTGAACTTTGCTTTTGATTGTTTCTCTCATTTGACTTTGCACTGCCTCTCATCTGCCAGTCAAATCATCACACATTGCCCTAAGCATCCGTGACCATCTGACAACACCAAGGCAGGTGGTCACGTTGTCAGAAAAGAACGCTTTTCAATGCTGGAAATTCAACAGTATTTTCCCTTTTAAATCAGAAAAAGGTTTTGCTTGGTGCCCATTCAGTAGGCTACACATTTCAAAAGTAATATATTATGTAACTGAAGTTATGTTGAAAAACCTTTAATAAAAATTTGACAGCAATAAGTGTGGAGGTCTGTTGTGAGGTTTATGCTGCCTGGTTTAAATATATATTAGGACTTTTTGGCTTTATTGCCCAGTTGAAAACATTTTTAGAAAAGTAATCAAACAGTAATTAAAAGTAATTATTTACATTACTTGTATAAAGTAATTCAAATAGGTTACTTATTACATTTTTAGCAGGGTTACAGGTGATGTGTAACCTATTATATTTCTTCAGGCACTGCATACACACAAAGTAACCTTCCCAACACTGAATTTGGAGAGAGCACTTTCACATACTGAACAATACAAGTAGTAATGATCCATTGTTAGGATAAAAATATGAATTAAGTGGGACACAGTATACACCTGGAGGAGAAGGTAAAACTCAAACAAGTGTGTGGTCATTAACCATCATTTACAAAGAAAGACTGTTGTGAAAGCCCATGCAAACTGTACATTTAATATCCCAGACTGCCCCTAGTGGAGTGGTAATTCTGTTAGGAGAGATTTAGATTAAAAAAATAAAAAAAGAAAAAAAAGAAAACTTGAATAAACTTATGTGATTTTCCATTTTAAGTATTAATAGCACAGAACAGAATAAATGTACATTTGAAAGCTTATCCAGTGTACGTGTGTGTGTGCGTTTACATCAATAGGCATGTGTGTGTTCTCGTACTGCGTAAAGGTCTGATACTGATGGTACTTTTACAAGTTAGGCTCATGGGAAATACAGTCCTAACTGTGATCATAGAAGACCTTGAGTTGATCTCAACTTCCTCACTATATCACACACACACACCGCCATGTGTTTTTCTGCTTTTGCTTCCTTTACATTTGAGGAAGAAAGAAACTATCTTGAGCAACAAACACATTGCATTCTGGGATCTGAGCTTTTTGTTTGCTCAAACCTTAACACCTGTTGGCAGTATGACAGAGAAAATACTGTACATCCCCAATCCTCATGAGTTTAATGAGATGTGTAGGAGAAAACAGTGAGAGAATGATGTCATGGGAAAAGTGGAAAAGATGGGAAAGGTGGAGAAATGTGTGTGTTAAAGAGAGAAACACCGTCACAGTTGAGAAGGAGCAGCTTTTGAAGGGAAAACACAAGAATAGAGCCCTGCGATGGATTGGCGACCTGTCCAGGGTGTACCCCGCCTTCGCCCGAATGCCGGCCGGGATTGGCTCTGGCCCCCCCCCCCCGGTGACCCCGTTCAGGGACTAAGCGGTAGAAAATGAATGAATGCATGAACACAAGAATAGGCCTGGTATTATTCAAAAAAGAGTAATTTGTAGGTAGGGAAGAGAGCAAGAGAACAGAATTCAAAGAAAGATGTGTGAAGATGCTTGTTGAGGTCCATGTTTTAGCATCTACTGTATGCACTGCAAGGCATAAAGACAGAATGTTCATGATCTGTCTCTTCTAATTTGTTTCCCATGGCCATGCTGCATGTGTGCGTCAGACACCCTGTTGTCAGCTCCACTTAATGTGACCATCAGAGAGCTTGAGGTCAACTCTGCCGTGGTCACATGGGAAATCTTGGAGGGGGACCCTGTTATTGGATTCGCCATCACCCAGCAGGTATCTCTATGTGTGTCCTTCATATGAGTCTTGTAGAAAGTGAAAACTATGGAAATTGTTTAAATCAGAGGTTTTCAACCGATGAAGAGCAAGCAAGGCATGAGGCAGGGAAATCTAAGAACCTTAGCTAGTTAGACCACTGATTTGTGCTGCTCACCAATACAGTCAATTGGTGGTGCAGCAACAGCAGCAGCTGCTGCTCATGGAGACAGTTAATATACTTTAAACCCTTAACACAACTTTTCAAAGTCATAACTCAGTCATTCCTGAAAGGTATAGCTGGTGTTCCTGGAAAAACTACCGAGAGGAAGCTCAACACTGAAAGTAGCCAAATGAAGAAATCCCATCCTTTTGTTCTGTATTCTCTCAAAAACACAATGCACACTGCCTGGCTACTTAAAGATTTTAGGAAAATAACAGATCCCCCCTTCCAAACAAAAGAAAACCAATAATTACCTGTCCAGCAGAAATACAGCCACCATGGAATCACTTTTCAGCCCCGTTTGTTCTCTCAGTTGTCGTCGTCATTGAAAGCCTACACCAGTGTCAATTCTGGTTTTACTTCTTGCAGCATCCAATTTCTTTTTAGTTGCAACTTTCTCGAATACGATCTCTGTTTCTGAATGAAAGCTGCTGTGGTACCTTCTGTGCCATAGCTTGCTACCTTTATCTATAAATCAGGGTGGCAGCACATCTGCTTGCAACTGCAATGCTTTGTGGGAGATTCTTGACTCACACAACGAGTGCAAGGGCAGAGTGTGTGCGAGTAGGAAGCTAGGTTGACTGGCAGAAAGGCTGTTCCAATGGTTTTGTTTGGGATAAGTAAATTTATTGGTCAGGCTTTTTTCAACCAGAATACTATAGATGGGAGATTTTTTTCTTTATGTTGTCAGTGCATTTAATGGATTCATTGCCATTGGGATGAAAAGGGAATTTTAAGAAATGTAAAATGGATTGGGCTGCATGTTTCTGTCCAAACCCGACCTGTGTCCAAGAGTGTGGTGTCCAAACCCAACCCAGACCCAACAAGCTTATACTATATATAATGTCCAAACCCGACCCAAGCCCGATGCAGTTGAGTTTGTATGGTGTTTTTCCCCTTATCATTAAATGTAGCAGACATTTGAGTGCTCCAGCCCTCTAGCCTAAAGTTTGACCTACATGTCTGAACCTGAACGGGATCTGAACATAATTTCTAAATTTCTGGCTGAAGTGGGCTGTACCCTGGTTATTGACAGGTCCCATTGGGCTCAGTTCAGGTATCCACAGTCTAGTGCCATGTAAAGATTCTGACATTAAGAACCAGTTGCTGCCAGTCATGTTTAATATTTATGACCCATATTGTCAGACTATGAAAACCACAAATGTACATAAAATAAGCAACAAAACATGAGCAATTACAAGTTCTGAGAAGTCAAAATGTTGCAGTCAAATAGTTGTAGATACACTTGCAAATACATTTCAAATGTACATTTTGTCTACATGCAGCTTTAATAGGCTGAATTTCCCTTCCTTAATTACCTGGTAAATAAAAATGCCTCTGAGGAGGCTTGCTCTTGATCTAGCAGGAACCAATTGACCTAAGCAAGCATTCCTAGCTGGATAATAATGCACATTTCAAGCAGAGCACACAAGACCAGAGAAGTACTTTGTTTCTTTAAGCTTAACTACATTGCAGAGAAACCCTGCCTTTTCCCCAACCATTGACCAAGAGAGATGAGTATCCATTTGCACTATATCAGCCCTAGCCAGAAGACCAGCTGAGCTTTCATAAGAGAAATCATCTTTTTAGTCACCAGAAATCTGTATTTGGTAATGCTCGCATCTGGTGTGTGTCTGCTAACTAGAAATCCCTTTTACAATATATTGCCTTGAGGAAGCAGGGTGAAGCTGAACCTGTGACTTCAGTTAAAGTGATATACAGTTTTGATATTGTGTCGCAATGTTATCTTGACATTTCAACCTTTTTAACTCAAAGACATTTCACATAGTAAATGGTTTCCCCAGAAACTAGTTCTTAGAAAAACAGTGCTTTGATACATCAGTTTAACCCTGACACTGACCCTGCTGAGGCGGCACCAAAGACAAGAGAGAATTTCCCTGCAGGGATCAGTAAAGTAACCTGACGTTTTCTTTCTGTGCTCTTCTGTTTCCCACTCATCTGCAGAAGAAGGATGTACGCATGCTAAGGTTCATCCAGGAGGTGAACACCACCACACGTTCATGTGCATTGTGGGATCTGGATGAGGACACCGAGTACATCGTCCATGTTCAGAGCATTAGCATGGGAGGTAGCAGCCCCCCGAGTCAGCCTGTTCTCTTCAGAACACCCAAAGAATCGGAGAAGATGGCATCTAAGAGCCCAGGTGAGTGGCCACAATACTTACCTACGTAGAACTCATTTTTGTTTTTATGGAGGTTGGGGGTTAGGTTGCAATGATCAGCCTTCCACATACAATATGTGCAGTATGAGTTTGCAGAGCACATGCTACAAACATACAGTATCTATAGTATAGGCAGACAATTAAAATTCAATAAATGCATATGTGCAATAAATGCATACAAACACAAGTATAAAAGCAAGTGGAACAGAAGCACTTATGCATAAACACAAGAGTACTCACCGAGTAAACAAATGTTCTACTTCTCTGTCTTTCCTTGCTGACACACATGTCCATATGCACCCCACACACGCACACACACACACACACACACACACACACACACCTATCTTCCATACAATGTATTGTTCTTATTCTCGAACACAGAGGCAGCTGTTATCTGGAGCGGCTTGTAGTACATCCAACTTTATCATGTCCGACCCAGTTGCAGTGCCGAGTGCAGCTGCTTCAGAGGGATGTAGCAAATGCTGAATACTCATCAGCAGCAAGGTGATAAGAGAAGAACAGTGCACAGCGGGGAGCAGTGTATTACCTAGAAACGCCCACTGTGGGAGCTTGTTGTGGTCCATTTTTTTCTCCTTTGTCAAACTGTGTTCTTGAACAAGTAGTTTAATCCAAAAACAGGGCATTTACCACCTGAAAATTTTATCTGGTTTCATTTCCACAGGCCTGCACACACCGTTTTGGCATGGGGAACAATCCTAAGTTTGAAAGACCTGTTGTGTGAAGGCTGAAAAACTATGATTGGACAGTCACTGACACTTACAAATTTTGCTATAAAACAAAAGCAATTAAATGTATTGTCTATGTATTGCACTTGATCAGATGACAACAACCAGCCAACCTTCACAAATAACTGTCAGTGAGAAACAGTTACAGCTGCGCAGGCAGTGTTTTATTGACAAGTGCAAAATGTCACATTGATGAGGGCTTAGCACTAAAAATGGAGACACTTTATAAAAGTCTTGAACAAGGTGAAATTATTCATAGAAATGTGAAAACATCACACACCTGTGGTTGTTAAGACAGAATATTTGACCAGATTATGTGTTCCTGTAGCTTTATTTAGCAGTCTATGTGAAACTATGTGACATAGGTTTTTAGTGGGACTGTTTGGCTCGATATCGAGGGGCTGACTCATTTTGTTTGCAGCGACTTTGATGGAAGTTTCCAGTGTGCACAGTGAATGCGTGTGTGTGCATCCGTGTTCGTGGAAACATTCATTAGCTGCGCTGATTAAATCTCCAAGCCATTACTGCCCTCCTCCCCTAATCAACTTGACACCATTTAGTATCTGCAGTCACAATAATGCAACACACAAACTGACTGAGTTTCTGTCTGTCCATACAGCTTTCTTCCTATCTGCCTAGGTCTCTGTCTGTATCTGTCTGTAGCTCATATCCAATGAAAGCTTTATAATGCAAAAATCGTGAATGAATTGAGGAGTGTAATTTTTGTGGCTTGTGTCTTTATGTTGTTATTACATTATATTGGGAGGTACAAATACTGCAGTTTTTTCCCTTGGCAGTAAAATGTTACATAGTCTCGAGTGTCTGGAATAATTTAAGTTCTAATTTATCTCTTACAATCTACTGAGCAGTGTGCTCCTCTGCAGCCTGCTCCACACTCACACTGTTACATTCACATACAGTATGGAGGACTCACTTGTTCTTCACAATACAGCTGCATTATACTGGCTTCTTTAGGTCATGAACGGCAGGTATAAATATGTAATGATGTTTTGGGTCAATGCTTTCTTCATAAAATGAGAAGAACAGTTACACTGACTCCACAGTCAATTCCAGTTATGACAACATACACTTATTATTGAAATATAATATTAGTTAATTGTACAAAAACTAAATGTAATGCAAGTTTTGGATTTTTTTGTCTCAAATTATGTGAAAAACAACAACTTTCACAAATAATTTGATTATAACCTTATGTAAGCTACTGTTGCCTTTTATATTAAACACTGTAAGCAGGTTATGTGGCTTTTATTCTGCCTCTGCTCCGGAAATATTCATGGCCGGAGGCATTATGTTTTCGGATTGTCTGTCCATCAGTCAGTGTCTGTCCAGCCCAGGATGAACTGATTAGATTGTGCTGGTCAAAGGTCAAAGTCAGTGACCTCACATCTGTCCATGAAGTTGACTGGTTGGCAGAGACATACAACCATGAAACAGTAGCTAAATCTGTAACTTGATTAACAGACACCTGGCACTTTTTCAGATTGCTCCCTTGTATCAATCCAGCTTAGTGTATTTTATGTCCATATTTTGGATGATTCTTGTAAAGGGATCAAAGGTCACAGGGTGACCTGAAAGTAAAGTGTTTGACAAAATAGCGACATGGCTTATGATGTAATGTCAGTGTCTACTGAGGTTTACTAATGTTCTGTGCCTCAATAATACAAGATGCCTAAACTTGCCAAGGGCATCACGGAGTCCAGAGCGACTTCACAACCACTCTGCATTTACTTGGTCTGCTGATACCCCTAACGTCATGAAGAGGCAGTGTGCAGTTTCCATGCAGAGAGACATACAAGTAGACCTCAAACCACAGCTTCATATCATACACAACCCAAGACTGTTTAAATCAGAGAGCTGTCTATCAGAGTCCTGGCTTCACAAGAGAAACATGTTATCTAAACTGCTCAAAAAAATAAGGGAACACTTAAATCACACATCAGACCTTATTCAAGTTATTATTCAAGTACTTTCTAATGTACATTGTATGATTTGTTCAGAACAAAATGACATAACAACAGTCAATGGACACCAAATCATCACCCATGGATGGGGGGCTGTGTTCAAAATCACACTGAAAATCAAAGTGAAAATTGAAATCACAGGTTCATCCAAATTGTGTGAATTTCATCCCAGCAACTCATAATGTGACTCAGAAGTGTGTATGGCCCCCGTGTGCCTGTATACACTCCCGACAACGTCTGCACATGCTCCTGATGATTAAGTGGATGGTGTACTGTCGGATCTCCTCCCAGACCTGGATCAGGGCTTTCAGTGAGTGCCTGGAAAGTCTGTGGTGGTACTTGGTGGTGTTGGATACACAATACAAAATGTCCCATACACATTCAATTGGATTTAGGTCAGGGGAACTTGAGGAGCCGGTCAATGGCATCAATGCCTTCATCTTCCAGGGACTGCCTACTCATTCTGGCCACACGAGGCCGGGCATTGTCCTGCACCAGGAGGGACCCAGAGTCCACTGCACCAGCAAAAGGTCTGACAGTCGCTCTGAGGATTTCATCCTGGTACCTCACAGCTATCAGGGTACTGTTGGCTATGACATGGAGGTCTGTGTGGCCCTCCAAGGATATGCCTCCCCAGACCAGCACCTACCCACCACCAATCCGGTCATGCTTGGTGACCGGTCACCAGCATAACATTCACCACGACGTCTCCAGACTCTTTCACACCTGTCATACAAACCTGCCTTCATCTGTGAAGAGAACAGGGTGCCAGTGGCAGGCTTGCCAATTCTGATGTTCTCTGGCAAATGCTACATGGTTTTTGGCCATGAACACAGGTCATACTAGAGGATGTTGGGCCCTCATGCCACCCTCATGGAGTCTGTCTGACAGTTTAGTCAGAAACATGCACACCATTAGCTCCTGGAAGTCATTTCGTAGAGCTCTCACAGTGCTCCTCCTGCTCCTCCTTGCACAAAGGAGCAGGTACCAGTCCTGCTGCTGGGTTGTTGCTCTGCTACAGCCCTGTCCAGCTCGCCTAGTGTAACGGCTGGTCTCCTGCTATCTCCTACCGTGCTGGTATACGCATGCACTCACACGCTGGGAGGCACAGCGAACCTTCTTGTGAATGCACGTATAGATGTGCCATCTTGGAGTAACTGGACTACGTGAGCAACCTGACTTGGCTGCAGGTACTGCTTCAAGCTACCAGTTGTGACAAGGACGCTAGCAAAACACAAAACCTGAGAAGAATCAGTCAGGAAGGATAAGGAGAGACCATTTGTCTGTGGTCACTATAGCCAGAACCATTTTGGGGGTTGTCCTGCTTTTGCCTCTCCATTGCACCTGTTGTCACTTTCATTTGCACTAAAGCAGGTGAAACTGATTCACAGTCACTTGTGCTTCCTAAATGGACTGATTGATATTCCTGAAGTTTAACTGACTTGGTCTTAAACTGTGATGATCACGTGTTCACTTAATTTTTTTAGCAGCGTACTATTGCCAGTTTATTGGAGTATAACCACCCCTCTGTCAATCCTGAGGCCTCAGCTTCAGCTTCAGCTCAGAGGGATCACCATGGCAACAGAAGACCTGAGAGCAAGGTGGGCCAGAGGAGCAGTATCATCCTTGACTCATTCAGCCACTTAAGATACAACAGTGTCCCAAAAAGACCAGCCTTATGGAGAACTCACCCCTCCCTAAAATTCACATCCACATGTAACTAGTCATACATACTTCAAAATGAAAGCAAACATTTAGCTTCTTTTTAATACTAAAATGATTGTGCTGAAGTTTGAGCTGAAGCCTTCTTGTTATCTTAGTGATTAAACACATCCAGTGAGAAACAGCTCTACTAGCACAATGCTTGCAGTTTGGTGCCATTTGAAAAGCTAGTCATAAACTCCCAGTCATTATAAATGGGCCAGGTATTCCTTAACAGCATCATTATGGCACCCTATTGAATAACTTGCAGTATTTTATTTACCTCTAAGTTTAAATTAAATGCAATGCTGTCTTCTGTCACCGGCTAAATGTTCTGTTCTGTGTTTTCATTACACTACATTATGGATATTTTATTGCACTGGGATTTTATTTGCTGTGGCAGTTCCATAACCTGCAGCAGTAAGCTTTAGTAAAACAATGCTCCATATACAGTATAAAGTTAGTATCTACACCTTTCTACCAGTGTGTGGTCAGCACTTCCTTTAAGAATATTTATATCGCCTTAAAATGCAAGCACAGACAAATCAGTGGCAGTGATGTCTTTAGTTTGTTTGTTCAGCCCTTTTCTAAGCTGGCAGCGGGAGAGAGTTTGACCAGGGCCATGAGGCGTGCTGTTGGCGACATGGACTGAGAGGTTGTAGGGGGCTGTGTTGAAACCTTTAACTCTGTGATTGATGTTATCCTGCAGCTGCCAGAGTCTTGTCAGCAAGAGAAACACATTGAGTCACTGGATAGCAATACAGTGAGCTCGGTTTCTGTAGACCTCTGCGCTCACTTAGCTGTAATTACACTGACCAGAGTGGAGAATTTACACCAGGTGGCCTCTCTGCTCTCCTGTCGCTCAGTTTGATACTTTTATTTTTCCCTGCAGAGTTTCAGAGTGATGGCAATTTCACATTTGCACTTTGGGGCAATGAATCACAGTGTCCTCAGTAGCACTTCGTTGACTCTGTCTGTCTGTGTATGTGTGTGTGTTCTCTCTCCAGACGAGGTGACGATGGAGGAGTTTGGTAAGGCTGCCCAGCTGAGGGCTGGAGAACTCATCATCATTGTAGTGGTGCTCGTCATGTGGGCAGGTAATACTCCTCTTTAGCAATACACATTTATCACTGCTGACTTAATAGGAATCCACTGACTTTAGGGCAAATAAGCTCCCTGACTGAGGTCTTATTACTGCAGGAGACAAACACACTGGAGGTGATATCACCTCTCTCTCTCTCTCTCTGATGACAGATTTGTGCCTTTTGGGGCTTGAAATGATATAAAGCTGATCTGTGTGCTTTGTGGGTCATTCCAGCTCATTAAGTCCAAGTTTTAATTATTTATGCACATCAACAACAAGCAACTGTAGACTGTAGCAACTTGTCATCTCTACAGCTGTGTCTCTAGCCTGGCTAAAACTGATTTAAGCCATTAATGGTATGTACACATGCATAGAGTTACTTCCTTTGCTCAGTTATTCAAGTCACTTGTTTGCGTTGACATGGCAGTTAAAAAATGTACAAACTTAGAGTAACATGGAGAAGCTCAGACTGCCAGGTGTACTCCACATCTCGCTGCTTTCACTTTTAGCTCCAACAGGCTGCAGAAACTCTGACTCACACACTACAATGAGGACATATTGATGTCAAGAAAAAACATGTCAGTCAACTTATTTTTACTATTGAGAGTATTTAGATAGAAGCTGCTGCTCAGTCAAAGTGGGAGAATTTAGCTGACGGTTTAAACTTACTTTTACATAAAAGTTTATTTTTGTGCTGATGGACTAGAAAATATATGACAAGAAACATTCTGCTAGCTTCCTGGAAGTGAGAAGTTTGAACTCCAGATAAAAGGAAGGCAGCATGGGGAGAGAAAAACTGAAAGCGTTTTTCAGTTTGTAATTGGGCCTGTGTGTGGCATGCTGCGGAATACCACAGTGAGATATCCCATTTTTGCTTTTGTTACTGCGAGCAGAGGCAGCAGAACATTGAAGCCCATTTAGGCCAGATTCAATCCTCTACACTCTAACACTCTCTCCTCCATTGTTAGAAATTATTCTTTGTTGGGGGGGCGGTTCTATTTCTCTTCTCTTTTATAACTGCCATGTTTTTTTAATCATTTGGACTGAGGCCAGGCTTTACATGGCAATCTCAACATCTAGTTCATATCTCTGCACGTTCCACGGTAAAACAGATAAATATCCAGAACATATTGTGTTACTGTGTATTTAATATTTCATGGTGTACTTCAATATTCAGGTCAGATTACTGCAATTTCAGAATGCATTTCACGCTTGACGCAAATATACAGTGCTTCTAATGGAAACACTGTGCTAAAAAAAAAAAATGTCAATAGTAGTCAGTAGTAAAGAACAGTCCTACACCCAAGCGCCTACAATACCACAAGTTTTTACTTTTTCGCTGTCATTCCAATAAATAATTGTTAATTTGTCTCCCAGGGGTGATTGCCCTGTTTTGTCGTCAGTATGACATCATCAAAGACAATGAGCCCAACAACAACAAGGACAAAGCCAAGAACTCCTCAGAATGCAGTACTCCTGAACATCCACAAGAGGGGCTACTGCGCAGCAATGTCTAAGACCAGCCCTGCATCGCTTGCTGCAATAACCAACTCCTCAAGCCTCAGGATAGGTGATAGCTCTTATTATATATGAAACCTCAGAGAAATACTTTGAGTATTAATGACTACATTTGTGACCAGGAGTGTTGTCCTATTTGTTTAGGTACCGGAGTGCACCAATGATGCACGCGTTTGTGCAAGTGCACGGTTACGTTGTGGCTCATTTTGAGGGCTAAACATTGTTCCTACATTGGAGAGTTCACATACAACTATAACTGTCCACACAATCAAATGTTAGACTGGCTTTAATCTCTGCTGTAGTAGAATAATGTTAATGAGTAGCCAGTTGTCAGTGGATCAGTGGTATAGCCACAGAAATTCTTGAATATTCATGTGAATGCATGAGAAAACAGTAACATATGATTACAGGACTTGTAACGCCTGCACTACTTTCAGTTGCTGTTGCTAGCCTGCACTGTACCCATGCTGATTTCAGATGCATTTTGCTCCCAGTGTCACCATTTCTAGTTGGCTAGTAAACATTGGTAGAAACCAAACTGTTAGCTAGCCCGAGGGGGCCATGGCTCTGGTTTTATTATAGCTGTTAACTAATGTTACATCATCAGAAATTTTTACTGTTTTAACTGGTCCAAAAATGAAAGGATGCTTTGCTGTCTTTTCATTTTATTAGTTAATGTTAGATAGCAACACGGCTATATTTACTGTGTTGCTGAAAAGATACTGGCAGCTACCAGCAGCTTTTAAGGTGGAATGCTTTCTTGCCTGTAGCTCTGTGCATGATTTGACATCATAAATAAATCAGCACACGTTAAATTTCAAATAAGACAACTTAGACCATTCCCATTTTTCAAAATTGGTTTTGTTGAGGGACATATCCTTAACTAATGATTGGATTGCAAATATTCCTTCTCCTCACTTGGAGAAATAAAGTGGCGGAGCATCGTTCTGGTGCGCTCTGGCAGCACTACACCTGCGTTTGTGACCCAGTAAATACTTTTGTTTGTTACTGATCTTTGTTTCTCTTATACAATAACATTGTTTCTTTCAGACCCTGAGACCAACAGAAAGCCATTCTCAGACATCATCATACTGAAGAACAGATCAACCATTACAGAAACTTTACTTCACCGAATGAAGCATTCTTCTAGTACAACTGACACCAATCTGAACCTGCTGAATCAAAGACGGCAAAGAATCAAGCAGAAAACAGAAGAGGACAAAACTTCATTCACAAGTGTTGTGACCAAATCTAGACTGAACTAGACTTGTGTGACAGCCAATGCAGACACAAGATATAAAATGGCTCAAAGCACCGGAGGAGGTGTCATTTTTTTCTTAACAAGAACTGCTTGATTCATATGTTCAACCAAACACCAGTGGGATCGAATCCCACATCAAACATGACTGAGTGATTTGTCTTCAACTTCAGGTTTGTATCACAGATGGGAGAAATGTAGACTGCCTCACAAGAATAGCTGGTCATTCTAGTCCAGGTATCATTGAGCACACAACAAAACAAGCTAAGCTGTGTTTTGAACTAAGGACTTTCCCTTTTTCTATCTGTCTTTGTGCCATTACCCCCCTTTCTGTCTTTATTACAGACCCGAGCAGCTCATCTCTCTCCCTGTCTCTTTGCGTTGGTGTCTCTCTAATAAGCACATTGCAGTTTGGTGCTCCTCCTGTTGTGATTGTTTGAGCCCTCACAATCTCGATCTTGAGTATGGTATTATTTTGTTATTGGATCAGTAGCATTACACACTGAGTCTTGTCCCCTGCTTTTCTCTCCCTCCATATCATCAATTAAAGGATGCATCTGTTTTTCTGTCACCGCTCTGCACTGGAACCTTAATGCAGGTGTCAGTTTGTGGATAAAATCTGACATATTTTACAGAGCCCAATATTTTCTAAAATGAGTTTGGTGACTTTGTGTGAATACAGCCACGATTCAGGCAAAGTTCAAGGATTGACCTGGCAGTCTCCCATCAAAGTGGTGCCACACTCCCAATCAAACATTTACAGAAACATCCAGGTTGGAAATGCAGAAGTTAATTTCATGGTCAAACTTTTTAAAAGACTGGCATGATTGGAAAATTCTTAATTTTGGTCATATTGAGGCTCATAACTGTACATTCAGGAGGATATGCTCTCTTCCGCAGCAGGATGTACAGGGACTAAGGATGGAGATATGCAGGAAATAATTCCTAATGAAATATACTGTATGCAGTGGGCAAGTGTTGGTTGGGTTTCCACTCAGTTTTGGCTGAAGACTGATGCCCCTTTAGAGGTGCCTGGCACATAGCTGAACCACTTAGGTGTGTGGCTGAACCTAGTTGTAAAAAATAAACCATTTTCATTTTGCAGAGGTCATTTACATGGCTCCTGAGTGCTCAGACCATCATGGCATGGGATAGAGTGAAAATGCATTATACCGAAGTATAAATGCTTTAAAATGTGATTACCCAAACTGCGAGCACATTGAAAAGTTACACGAATGTGTATTGATTAGTTAAACTATTAACATCTTTAGTCATTGTGTTCATTATTTAAAAAAGAACACCCAATTGCCTGGGCACAATTCACAGCAACGTATACAACTCAGTGGTGTCTTTCTGCCTTCAGAGCAGAAAGTCTAGCATTTTAATAAATCCTTAAAAAAGTAATGCCTACATTCATGTGGACCGTGCCCTGCGGGGGGTATGGGTATCCAAGGGTTAACTGTAACGCATCAGGCTTATCCACAGATATTGCTCATCAAGACCCCAGCATAGTGGACCGTTATTGGTAGATCCTTGGAGCTAAAACTAACCAGCATGCTTTCATTTGCTCTGAAATAAGTAACCACTTTGTCAGAAAATTTATTTATGACAATTTAAATTATATTTTTGATAAATATTTGTCATTTAATAAGTTCAGACACTTGCTGGTTACAGCTTTTTTTGTCATACCATGAATTTTGTATAATTGTTATTCAAATTTTATAGAACAAATTATAAATACATTAAAGTGCTAGATCTTAAATATTTTGATGATAGTAAATGAAATGTAATTTATTTTGGGTCAATCCCACATACGGTGGGTACGGAAAGTATTCAGACCCCCTTAAATTTTTCACTCTTTGTTATATTGCAGCCATATGCTAAAATCATTTAAGTTCATTTTTTTCCTCATTAATGTACACACAGCACCCCATATTGACAGAAAAACACAGAATTTTTGACATTTTTGCAGATTTATTAAAAAAGAAAAACTGAAATATCACATGGTCATAAGTATCCAGACCCTTTGCTCAGTATTTAGTAGAAGCCCCCTTTTGAGCTAATACAGCCATGAGTCTTTTTGGGAATGAGGCAACAAGTTTTTCACACCTGCATTTGGGGATCCTCTGCCATTCCTCCTTGCAGATCCTCTCCAGTTCTGTCAGGTTGGATGGTAAACGTTGGTGGACAGCCATTTTCAGGTCCCTCCAGAGATGCTCAATTGGGTTTAAGTCAGGGCTCTGGTTGGGCCATTCAAGACCAGTCACGGAGTTGTTGTGAAGCCACTCCTTCGTTATTTTAGCTGTGTGCTTAGGGTCATTGTCTTGTTGGAAGGTGAACCTTCGGCCCGGTCTGAGGTCCTGAGCACTCTGGAGAAGGTTTTCGTCCAGGATATCCCTGTCCTTGGCCGCATTCATCCTTCCCTCGATTGTAACCAGTCGTCCTGTCCCTGCAGCTGAAAAACCCCCCCATAGCAGGATGCTGCCACCACCATGCTTCACTGTTGGGACTGTATTGGACAGGTGATGAGCAGTGCCTGGTTTTCTCCACACATACTGCTTAGAATTAAGGCCAAAAATGTCAGGGCCACTCGGTGGCCGCTGCCTCTCCTCTGTCTTTTTCTCCTCTGCTCTCTCTATCCTGTGGGCTCTGCACCTCAGCTATGTTGCATTCCAGTAATTAGCAACTGGTTTGTCGATGCACACAGCTGGGGTGCATCCCGATGATTACCTTTTCCTCCCTATTTATACCTCGGGCAGACGCTCCGCCGGATCATTGT